GGTCGATCTTCAGCGCCGACGAGGTCGAAGCCACAAATCAGATCCGGGAACTGTAGCTTGAGCTGGATACAGTCGTTGAGCTCTGACTGCATCTTTGGCTTTGGTATGCTTCTAGGCGTGCAGTAGATGATTTTCAGGCCAAACGGGAACCTGTCGAGCTCTCCTTGCTTCTCCATAGCGTCACGCTTCTTCTGGACTTCCTCGCAGATGATCGTCATTTGGTCTTTAAGGTCGAGTTTGCGGGTCCCATCGTCAGACGGAATCGACTTGTCCATGAGCATGGGCCGCAGCTCAGCATACATCACGCGGTCACGGACCATGCTGTCGATGGCCTTCCCAATGTACCAGCGGTAAACACTTTCGTAATTCACCAAGCCCTTGAACGCACGCGTACCTTGGTTGAAGCATGCCCAGGCGCCGTTGTGAGTTTGCACGTCGTTGTATGTATTCTGGCGCGTGACGACCATCTTCTCGCGAGCCCAGCACTCGGCCTTGTCGAGGCCTTCCGGCGTCTCTTCGCATTCGATGTCCGAGGGGAATGACTTTCGGAAGTCTGCCCAGAGCATCCAGGGCGAGTTTTTCGGGTCCTTGGCGTCCGGATTATACTCAGGCGCGAAGCAATCACTCTTCTTCGTGTTTTTGGGCAACACACTGAGAACGACTTCCGCAAGTGCGAAGTTCTCCCTGCTGCTTAGTGATTTTGTCGTGCGGACGTGCATAGTCTGCAGCACCGTAGAACCCCTAGCATGGGGAAACAATTCTTCCGGTGGCAACTCCGAGTTGAAGTGAATGTGCAGGTGGCAGCCTTTCGGCATTCGTTGAGCGATCTTGAACATCCTACTCTCTGCGATCCTGGACTTGTTGGCCAGAAAGCGACCTCCCATATCCCGCGTATTCGAGTCCGGAACGGCTTCGCTTGGCAGGTTGCCATACAGGGTAGGATCGATGCGCTCACTTTCACGGATCCGGAGCACAATCTCTTGCGTTCTCGGCTCGGAAGGCAAAGCCTGCGCCCTGGCACCGGCATACCATACTCCTTCCTTCTCGGCCGCTAGAAGTTTTCCTCGGTCTTGCCTGTACTCATGTGAGCTCTGGGCGGTCCTGATACTTTCGGCTAGCAGCTCTTTGGTCTCCTCGGGGTTAGACATGATACGTCGTGGTGTGCCCGTTTTGGGCAATACTGGCAAGTTTGCCTACGTTCAATCTTCCCTTCGCCGCGTTTGAGCCACTCTCGTGCTCCTATGGAATATGAGTAATTTTGCTGAGCAGTATAGACTACTGACTGGGTTCTGCCGTCTCGCTGGTGTCTGCTGAGCCTGCTGTGGAGAATCTAGAGTCCAGACGCCGGTGCATTAAAGCTGTGTGAGCATGAAGGGCACGAAGGTTTGTACTCGGTTGAAGGTGGAAACTGGGCTGCGAGGCTACGGTCTGCTGCGCCTTACTTATATTACTCCACTCGTCTACCTACATAGCCTCGAGGAGGTCTAGATGTCCATGGGGCAGCGACCTCTTGAGCGAGGAAATCCTTCACGCCAAGTCAAGGCATGCTCAAGGAGGTCGAGTTGAGGTCAGTCGCCAAGTCGCCGAGGCTGCCGTAAACATCCCGTCGTTCCCTCGATCGCCCCCCGTTGACACTACATTTCGGCGGCTGTCTTCGTCATCCGCATGTTCTAGAATGGGCAAATTCTTGAGACCGCTGCTGATGCTACGTCCCTTCGACTTCATCCATCGTGGTCGTGGCGA